ATTAAATTTAATAAATAATTTAGTGTTCAAATCAAGTACTCCACCACCTTAGAAGTATAAGAATTTCTTAGTGTTAGAATTGCTTCTACGATATAAATTTATTATATTCATTTTACCTGAATCAATTACAAAGAAAACTAAAATAATTAAGAAAAAAAATTCTTCGTAATTTCTTCAAATTGAATTAGGTCTTACATATTATATGGATGTAGAGTGCATGCCCACTATCCACCATCTAGCGGAAGGCACGGACTTTCAAACATGAAAGAATTTGCCCCTCACAATACAACAAAGGCGGTGCTGTGGGAGGAACCAGGAATATCGGCACTGCTGCAAGGAGGGCCGATGAACGACGTGATGCAGCAGCTGCCGAAGCTGCAGACATCCATCCACCCAGTTTACGGATCCCCGCTTGCTGGAATCGTCGCAGAATATAAGCAAACCCCGACCTGTGATTTGCAGACAGGCATGAGTGTTGCCCACGGGATTCCATGGCCTCCATCCCATGAGCACAAAATCTGGCATCCCCCCCCGCATGCTGGATTCTCCCGTCTTCGATTAGAAAACTCAGCCCCGTTGAATGCCATCCCACTCGCTGTGCATTTGTGTGGGGAACTTACCGAGCGAAGTGTCTGCAATGCTCCGTCTGGGAACCTGTATTTGCATACTAAGAGAGATAAACAGCCTCTGCCTCTGCCTCTGTCATTATCTTCGTTCACACACTGGGCTTGAGTGCCCGGTTTTTGTGCAGCTACAGCTGCTCACATGAGCTCGATTGGGGTGATGACGACGCAGAGGCTAAATGCTGAGAGCGTGGAGGAGATCCTGTGCTGCTGCAGTGGGGCCGGTGTTCTATGATTAGTGCCCTCAGCAGATTCTTTCATCATTTAGGTACAAAATTAGATTCACCTGCCAGCAGTGGCTTTGAGGTTGGAGCTTTGCTGCCTTCTCTAGATCCATACAAATGGAGCGTGTCACCAGAATGTTCCAAATAAAGTACAAATAACTTAAGGTCATATTTGTTGACTTTCAAAAGAAGCATGGAAGTTCCGAGGTTCTATTATTCATCCACTGCATGTTGCACTAGTCTGGGGGAGAGCAATCCTCACGAAGTGCCAAACGCCGGTCGTCAACAAAACACTCCAGTTTACCAGACTCATCAGGTTTTTCCTTGAATTCTAGTCTCGATTACTTTTCAACATTTGCTACTTGTTAATCCTGGGTTGTGAGTCTGTTTCTGACTAGTGTACAAGCTGGAGAGATCAGCCAATTACTCAACCGACGCTTTCGACTCAAATCGCCACAATCAATTGTGAACAAATCTGAACCTGGGCATATCGTTGCAGGCATTTTCAGAAACATGACGAGCAAAGCGTTTAAAGCATACAACACTACGAACATTTGATGTTTTCAGGGCCTGTGATTCACCAACTACCGTGATTCGGAATCTCTCTCTCTAGGACAAACCCGGTTCATGTGATGATCACTTGTATGGAGAGCAGATTCCAACCAAAATCAACCAACGACATTCATGAGTGGCGAAAAGTGGACAACTGAAGTATCCTCGAGGTCTACATTCGCGCTGCATTCATCTTATGATAAACAAGACAAAAGTCGAGGATTGGGGGTGCAGTGTTTGTGTTCTATTTTGTTGCACGTTATTTATTTCTCCGATCAAGTGTTCGACACAATGACAACTGGAATTCTTGATGGTATCGAGACACCGAGATTCTTATCATCTAACCCAAAGAAACAGTGTTACCTGCCAAACAGAAACCTCTCTCTGGACCCTACCATTTACCACACCCTCGTCAACGTTTCCACGTTTCTAGTAAACTTCCACCTCAGGAAAGCGAGAACTTGCAGAAAAGCCGGAATCATTCTCTCCCGGACTACCTGCATCGAGTCGGCAGTTAAGAATACCGTAGCCACAATGTTGGAATCTAGGCCTATATTGTCGCAGGCCTAGAATCCCAATGCCTTCCTACGTCTCCGTGGTTATCTGGATCTCCTGAAGTGGAGGGATCGCTAGACACGAAAAGCGGGTGGACGCTTCCATAAGTCTGGTCGTGGCGCCGCGGGCAGAAAATTTCAGCTGAGCCCGAAGGGCCCTTTGGTCCTTCATATTGTGGACGAGACACAGAACAGCTGTGTGTGCACGAGATTGGCCCCAAGCTGCCCGCAGAGTGCGAAAAAAACGTCATTGGCTCGGTTTCTCCTCTCCCTGTCTACAATTGCGCTCCAGCAGTGGAGAAGCGCAAGAATAGCGCTGCGTTCCTCACGCTCAGGACGGGCTCCCATATTTGGGATTCGGAAGCTTGCGGTGCAATTACAGACTTGGAGGGAGAGGCGTTTCCAATTCGTTACGACTTTTAGTCGGCTATTGGACGTCGTGCTCGACGACTTTACCATCTCACCCTCCACATTGGCAGTGGCTTCGAGGTAAATTTTAGTTGACACTTACAAGAAACCTTAATGGCTCCCTAGATAATGTCTATTGCTGCCCAATGGGCATGTCCCCAGGTGTAGGATGCAGATTCTGATTCACCAGTACTTCATTTCTGATTGTTCACACCCCGAGCCTGTAGCGCAGGTCGAGTGGCTCGAGTTTCTAGCTGTCCACTGGTGTCCATACAGATTGGAAATCAGCAAAATGATGTATAGAAGCTTCGTACATTGTGAGTAAGAATCTGCAGGCACCAAGCAGTGGAGCAAATTGAACCTCAATCACCACCGTTGCATTAAGAATCCGGAGGCCTAACTTGACGAAATCTCGATGTCGAAAGACATATGCAAATGTGGTCAATTTGATGCTGTGCCCGGCCTCTTCTACTGCAGCGATCTGTGTGCTCTAGGAATCTGGGTATCATCGGAGTTTTAAATGGAACAGATATTCGGGCGGATTAAAATACGAAGGGATATATTCTCTGGCCATTCATCCATTTGAATTACCCACAGGACCTGAGACTCCGTGCCCGGGTTAGAAGTTGAGCAAACACTAAGTGAAATTGTGAAAGGTGCCCAAACTGGTAGTTTTCAGTGCCATTTGTGGTTGTTTTCAGTCTAGAAGAGTAGTGCCTCCTCCATGTTTGCTCCCGAGTTCCTTTTGCATTACTAGACAAAGATAAATGAAAAGGAACAAATTTGGAAGTGAAACTATATTGACAAAGTGGGTTTCTGGTATAAGTTACCAAGTTCCCGGAGGCAGGGAACCAATTGGGTATCTGTTCCCAGTCGCGTGTTCTCCACGAGCACAGGCAGATGTCTACGCATCTGGTCCTATCGAGAAAATAGAAAATAAAGAAAATAAACAAGAGGAAAGGAATCTGAAAGAAAGAAATGAGAAAAGGCACAACATTGAAAGAAAACGACTTGGTGGAAAGAACTTAAAGCATTAAAAGAAGAGTGGTAGAAAGGAGAAAGAAAGGGAAGAGTACATATAATTTGGACTGATTGATTCACTTATATACTTTCCTTTCCCTGGTCCACTGTGGAATCCTTGCATCTTTTGCGTATACTTAAGTGAATGTATTTTACTTTTAATCATTTAAAAAATGAACCACGGAGTTTATGCTTGCTAAAAATCGACTTTGCATAGAAAACTTTTAATGATCCTCTACATGTGAGAGAAGTATAATTACTTGGTTTTTATAAGGTTTTGAGTGAAATGAAATAACTAGTTACTTTGCAATTCTCGGGTTGCTCATAGGTTCAAACATACTCCCCCCAAATATGAAACTAAATTATATGACGATGTTTCATAGTTGTTCAAAAGATATTCCGTCAACAGACACTATCAATAGATTTTGAGTTTAGGAAAGTGAGCCAGTCGTACATGGTAAAGGAAAGAAAATCCATCTTTTCGTTATTGCCTATTGTCGTTCTTTCTTTCTTTTCTTGAAAGCTTGTTTACATACAAATTGGAATTTTTATCATGTTTTGAAATCTCTTGGGAGAAGAAAACATAATAAATAAACAATAATTTTATTTATTATTCTATGCAAACCCTGTTCCAATGTTCAATTCAGTGAAGTATCCTGTTGATTCATACATACTCACACTATTGTTGAGCCACTTTCACATTTTCAACCTTTTGAAAACTTTGGAATTCAATGCAACCTTGTTCTTTTTCGCACTTGAGGAACCAAATCAAAACTCACACTGATATCCAACACTGTCAGAGTATGGAAGCCTTCTACAATCACTTTCGTTAGAATTATTCCTGTTATACACTTATAACTTTAAAAGTACATAACCTTAGGTGTAGGGACAGACGGGAGTTTCAAAGCAGTCGATTAATACACTTCCAGCACTTCTAACACTCGAAATTTATTCAGCAACATACACCAACTCAAGTTGTCATTTGACCAGTATTTGCTCAACACAAGTCTTCACATGTAAACGTCAAATAAATAGATATTTCTCACATTGGCGCAGTGTGAACGGTGCCCTCAAGGCTGGATGCTACGAAAACGAAGTGGTAAAAGATGGAGTCACCTCGGCAGAAACCTTGCATTTAAACCAGGCAGAACAGCAGCATTGAGAGAAAGTTTTGTGCAAGTGAAAGCACAAGCTACGTCGTAGGAAGCTTTCGTTTTCTTAGCAGCTGCCGCGATTTTTTCCTTTTTCTTGTTCAGTTTTGTGTTGGTGGACTTTCGTCACCAGAGCTGTACTGGCCTTACTGTGAAAACAAGTTACACCCACAACTAGGCAATTCATTTCACTGATAATGACTGTACGCTGCGAGAGAACGACTGCGCGACAACTACATGAGTCTAAAAATCCAATCCAACACCCTGCCTTGCTTAAAGTCCGAGCATTAGAAAGTAATATTAGGCGCAGGTAACAAAGATTAATTAAAAAAGAAATTCTCTGCACTATTGGGAGACAGAGAATTTTGCACATACAGCCACTTCCGGCTCCGCATCTCACTCACTCTCCCTCTTCACAGTTTCTAGGTGAAGCAACGGATCGGAATAGCATGCCCAGGTAAAACATGATGTGGGGTACTCCCGGGTTCAGGGTGTCGCGGTCTAGCGTGTGCACATCCTTTAAAGAGGCGATTGTCGCCTGATGACACCGCAGTTGGATTCCTCCCAAGCCTACTTGCTGCGTGAGCGGCAATTGATCCATTGCTTCTGTGCCGAGTGGTACATAGTGTGCCGTGGGAACAATGTAAAGAAGCGACTAGGGACGCGAAGGAGATCATCAGAGCGCGTGCTTGACATCTTTTTGAGAGCTTGGGGTGTGGGGAGTAACCATGACCACTTATGGTTGTGCAGAGGGGGACCTAGCCACCATCCAGGGGTTTCTGGGTGCTGCAGGGAATTCCACCGGCTTGAGCGAGTTTCTTTGCACAAAGCTCGATGGCATCGATGCGCGCCTCGGGTTCACGGCACTGGCTGTCGACAACACGTACCTTCTGTTTTCCACCTACTTGGTGTTTGCTATGCAGCTGGGTTTCGCCATGTTGTGTGCTGGTTCGGTGCGGGCTAAGAATACGATGAACATCATGCTCACTAATGTGCTGGACGCTGCTTGCGGTGGCATCTCATATTACGTGTTCGGATTCGCCTTCGCTTTCGGAGTGGGCGGGAAGGCCAATGGCTTCATCGGTCATGCCAACTGGGGTCTCAAGAATGTCCCCAACGCCAGCTTCGATTACAGCTTTTTCTTGTTTCAGTGGGCGTTCGCGATCGCTGCCGCGGGAATCACATCCGGGTCGATTGCGGAGCGCACGCAATTCGTAGCGTACCTGGTGTATTCGTCGGTGCTGACTGGATTTGTGTACCCGATTGTGTCTCACTGGCTGTGGTCGACGGATGGTTGGCTGTCGGCGACGAAGAGTATGGGTCCCGGCGGGCTGTTGTTCGGGAGCGGTGCGATCGACTTCGCTGGTAGTGGTGTGGTGCACATGGTGGGAGGGCTGGCTGGGTTCTGGGGCGCTCTTATTGAAGGCCCCCGCATGGGCAGATTCGACAAGTCTGGAAACTCATTGAACTTTCGCGGTCACAGTGCGACGTTGGTTGTGTTGGGGACGTTCCTGTTGTGGTTCGGATGGTACGGATTCAACCCGGGGAGCTTTCTGAAGATTTTGGTGCCATACGAGGGAGTGAAGGGCAACTGGAGCGGAGTTGGGAGGACTGCAGTGACGACGACGTTGGCGGGATCGACAGCGGGAGTGACAACATTATTCGGGAAGAGGTTGTTGGATGGGCACTGGAACGTGCTGGATGTGTGCAACGGGGTGTTGGGAGGGTTTGCGGCGATCACAGCATCATGCGCCGTGGTGTCTCCATGGGCGAGTATCATCTGCGGGTTTGGAGCTGCATGGGTGCTGATCGGATTGAACAAGCTCGCAGGTATGAATACATGTGTGTGTATTGTTGAATTCATTTCACCATGGACATGTTGGATCTACACAATGTCTGAACTGCTAACCTCTATGTATCGTTTGTAAAGTATAGATAGCTCATAAGTGACCCGTTGACGTACATGTGCTGTCCGACGTATATATCACAGTATTTGTATACTGATAATCATATTCAAAGTTGTGAGGCCTCATAATTGAGCGTTTTCTTGTGATTTTAGCACATCCTTTACACAGAGAAACATGTAATTTGGGTTTCGATCTGCTCAAGCTGTCCTAATAAGTTATGCCTTCTCGTTTTCTTTTAAGCCAGTTTTTCCCTGCATCGGTTGTGGTGGTTGCAATGGTACGAAGTGACACGTTGGTTCTTATTTTACAGCTCGTTTTCACTACGATGATCCCCTTGAAGCTGCTCAGCTTCATGCCGGTTGCGGAGCATGGGGTCTACTGTTCGTGGGACTTTTCGCTGAGAAGAATTACGTCCAGCAAATTTATGGTGGCGACCCCGAAAGACCTTACGGTCTGTTCATGGGAGGAGGTGGGAAGCTGCTTGCTGCCCAGATCGTCGAGATCCTTGCTATCACTGGATGGGTATCTGTCACCATGGGTCTTCTGTTCCTCGGCCTTCAAAAGTTCAAGCTGCTCCGTATTTCTCCAGAAGACGAGGTTGCAGGTATGGATTTGACAAGGCACGGAGGAACGGCATACATTCATCAGGATGGTTCGGAGCACATCATGCACATGAGTACCATCAATGGTGATAAGAGGTCTCTCAACAACCAGGGTCCAATATAATTTACTTTCTTCTTCTCTATTTGTGTGCGTAGCTTACAGTTTGAAAATTCGCTTCATATGAGCGCAAAAAGGCTCCATAGAAGTCGTAATCTGCATGGGAGGGGGTGTTCGTGGCACGACCGATAACATCGTGAGGTAGATTGGTGATAAACTTTGAGGTAGCCGGGTCATGTAGCTGAGTAATTGGATTTGGTGGCTACGGAGATGCGTTCCCGTCAACTATGCAGGACGACTTCATAGGGAGGTGACCAGTGAGGTTGTGAGGCTTGCTTAGGAGAGTGTTCTTTTGAGACTTATCTTAAGTTGGTGACAAACCGTTGAAGTGGAGTGTGCCTTGTGAGATGCAAATCAGGCATGGGCTGCTGCTGTGTATTTGCCCTTCCTGGTTGTATAATAAATATGCCGCTATTCGTTCTGCAGAAGTTTGTTTTATTGTCTGTGGGTTGTCTTTCTCTTTAAGTCGTTGATTGTGAGTAGGATTATGAGTAGGATTTTGGATTTTGGACCAGCTCTGTGTGTAGCATTGATGGTGTTTACTATAAACTCTTAAGCTAGCCAAAATTATTCTTGACTTTGGGTAAGTGCACTCATTCGGCTCCTGGGTGAGTCATTTTTTATTTGTTTATTTTTCGAATACAATGCCATTCTATCTTGCGCTCCGTATCTTTTCATCTGTAACTATGCAAATGATTATGTGCTGATTAACTTACTCTATTGTAGATACTCTTGCGAGTACGTTGTCTAACTCCCAGTTACTTCTTTCCGCATTAATATCAGGATTTCGGCAGAGTGCACTTTGCACGCACGGTCGGATGTAACATCCTTTTGTAAATATTTCAAGCTCATAATCTTTATTTCAAATTTAATAGAGAAGAAGGAAACCCGGGATATTTGGTAAAATACTCTGGTTGGGTAACAAGCTTGCATAACTCACAAGTGTTTATTTCTCAACCTTGGTAGTTGGAGTTATAGCCGGAGATGCACTTTCGGTAAAGTTGTAAACAGCGAAGCCTTCGGAGGAGTGTGCTGCAATATTAATGAAACTACTAAAACGGAGTAGGAACATCAATCGGGGAAAGTGCAACCACTGAAAACCTCCTATCTATTTCAGTTGAAACTCTAGAGGGTCAACATCAGGAGCATCTGCACACAGCTCAGATTGATAAAAACACTGGTGTATCCCGAATATACACTACTTTTTCATGCCCAGGCTCAATGAAAACAGTTTGATACATCGTCGAACTAACACATTTTCTTGCGTGAATAGGGAGTTATTCGGTCACACAAGACATTGCTTTAGTCGTCATTACCTATACTAAATCATGCTGTGAGCAAAGTCAAGACTGTCTCCAAGTGATCACAACAGCCCAAGCAGGGATCACTTGTAGCTGCAAATTTGCAGCTACAGTTCATCTTCTGTGATCACAAGCAGGGAAACTTAGTTTCAGCAGGTGCTGGGAATTCTGCTTCGGCTTCTGTTTAATGTTCGTTATCATGCCTCATGTTGCTGGCTCTGTCACAGGTCCCTGCAAAAGATGCGAAGCTAAGTAAAGGAAGGCAACTAATGCAATGAGAAGGCATGAATTTGCAACCGCTGTGCACCGACATTAATCATATGTGGGTGTGCTTACACAATGAGTTTACTCGTAGGAAAAATAGCTTCTGAATATTTACATAGTTCTAGTCTTTGTTTCCAGATTTGATTGGCTTTTGTGCATCTGGAAAATTTGTTCAATTATTTTTGGTGTTGTATTTATTGAGAATGAAGCTGAATCAATGTTGCATGGTGATACTAGAGATGTTTTGCAAGCATTCAGGTGCTCTGTTTGTAGTGTGTTTGTGATAATAGTTTACAGATTACAACTTTCATGAAATACAAATTTCTTGACAAGTGAATTCTGGCGATCTGTATATATATATATATATATATATATATAATCTTACACACTAAATGTTTAATGATTGGTACGATTTTAAATATTCTAAATTTAAAAATGTAAAACACAATGTTTTAGAATAGGAATATATTTTTATCAATCTTTTGTAACTTGAAAATCTAATTTATATCTATCATCATCACCATCATCATTTATTTATTTATTAATAAAATCTTTGATAAATTTTGTATAATTGTAATATTTTATTTTTGTTGTAAACTTTGCTCTAGTACTTTTAAAACTTTAAAAACATTTCTCATATCAATCTACTCAAGCCATGCTAATGTCATATTTGTATCTTGAATTATACATATATATATATATATATATATATAGATATATATTAATCTTTTCTTAGAATTCTATCTAGTTTCTAAAGAAATTAGGAACAAACTTCTAAATATTATCCAATTTATTGTATAAAAATAATTAATATTTGAATCAAAATAAATATTTACAAAGATATTATACAATGATTTAATTTATTTAATGTTATATAATTATTTTTAAAATCATTAAAATTTACTTTAAATACTAAAATAAAATCCTAAAAGATATGATATATGTATTTTTTAAGATATGTTAAAAGATTAAAATAAAAAATAATAGTGTAGAAATTATTGTAAACTACTTTAAAAAAAATCTATTGCATAATTATTTAAAGGAATTTATAAAATCAAATTTAATGAAATTATTATTATTATTATTTTTTTATAGATTTATGAACTAGACCATTTTATTAGTTTTAATATGTATAGAATCTTTAAATGATTTTAAGCATGTATATTTTTAATAGAAATGTTAATACCTAAAAAAATAATATTTCTTTAATTGTGCCATTTGTAGGATCAATACACCTAAAGAGGACATGAGATTGTTTCTTTAATGATCCGATCTATCAAATAGAAAGAAAGTAAGGTTTGGTTTAATGGCTCTTTTTCTTCTCCCTTTCCACCTTGAAAAGAAGAGTTTTATGTTTTGGAGGCGAGTTAAAGAAAAAGGTATTTTATCCTTATATCATACCCTTCTCCAACCAGGTTTTTTTTTACACAAGAATCTCTCTTCTATACATGATGATAAATTGTCAAGTAGATAATATAGGGTCTTCACAACCTCAAAGAAAAGAAACTATATCTCATATTTTTGAAGTAGGTCATATAAGACTTCAATATTCTTTTTTAGTACTATAACAACAATACATTTTAATGCCTCCATGATATTAGATTATGTCACCTCTATGATAATGCTTCTTTATGCCCCAAATTCTTAATTACAATTAAAATTAATTTGGAATGTGTGAATAAAGACTCTTATTAAAAAAAACTTATAATCTTACATAATAGCACTATAGTTATGCAATGGTACTATTTTGGTTTGACCCCTTATTTTTGGTCTAAGACTTCTCACTTCTATGTATCTCTTACCTTCAACCGCTAATTCAAAAGCCATTGACACTTTTTTTTTTCATGCACTATGTAATATGCATCCTACTTATTAATGGACATAAGATCTAGACTACAACACATAAATTGCATCTTATATATGCATATTACTTATTCAATATGACTTCTTATTCTCTTGTATCCCTCATTCTCAAAGAATTCAAAAATATATAAGAAAGGATAGAAGGTGATTTCTCCAATTGTATGTAATGTTGTTTGATTCATAACTATTATTCTTCTATATGCTCTAAAAGACCTCAATAAGTGAGTTACAATATCTCTTACTGCTCTTTTTTATTTTTTATTTTTTATTTTTTTTCTTTTTCTTTAAATATTATAAGTCATGACTAAGTCAAATAACAACATGATTAATTTGTATCATACAATTTTCTTGCCAAGCAAACATCTTATAATCGGCACTATTATATTATTTCAAGACCTCTACTTCCATACATGACATTAAATATAGTGAGGTTTAAAGAAGTACAAATAAACTTTGTTTTCTTCTACAAATCATGCTATTTATTATAGTTTGATAATTAAACTTGATATTTGCTAAGTTGTTATATATTACAAGTTGATATGTATCACTCTATAGCCTCAATGAGATAAGCATGAAATTACTTCTTTTACTTCTTAGCCCAACACTAATCAATTCAATCTTTTAAAATCTCAATAAAAAAATAAAAGTTGATAGAAAATGAAAAAAAAGATATATCATATCAAGTAACATGACTATGATACCATATTTTACAACACTCATGCATCAAAGTCTCAATAAAATATCTCCATAGAGCTTAACAATATTAAGATAAAAAATCTTGATATTTTTAATATTTTTTCTTTCATATTCATAAATTTCTCAAAAAATTGGAGATATTAATAAGAGCTTATAAAGAGTAAAAAGCTCCAATTTGGCGCCATTTTTTTTTTTTTTTTTTTTTTTTTTAAATAAATAATACACTAATTTCTAAATTATTTTACTTATACTAATTTCAAAATATAAATTTAATATTTCTTATCAAATTTACTTTCTTTTTAATTTATCTTAAATTTTAATTATAAAAAACTCTATCATAAAGTATTCAATTTAGTGGTTTGAAAATCACCTCAATTATTTAATTATCATATTTATAGATCTTGTTTCTTTCTTTGTAAAAAAAACTTGAATTTTATAGGCATCTTGGTCTTGATTGAAATGAAGATTTGTATTTTTTGTATGCTATTAATATTTTAATTCCTTGGTACTATTGCAAGTATCAAAATATTATCATTGAATGATAGAATAAAAATCTTTTTGCCATCATTCTTTTTTGCATTCTACACCATTTTTTTTGCTTCTTAGTATCTAGATTTTTTTTTGCTTTAAAGCTATTCTCTTTTAACAAGAACAATCAATGTTATTTCAACTAAATTTTTATGTTGGTATTTATGAATTAAAGAATTATAAAAATAATATTTATAGCTTTTTTTATTAAAAATTTTAAAGTTTCTTGTAATTTTGTTATTTGGCTCAAAAAATTAGCCAATGCCTTAAGCATGTGTTTTATTAATACAAGTTCTTACTAGCCTATTATTTGATCCTAAAACTTTGTCTTATTCAATAGTTTAGAATTGATGGTGCAAAAACCTTGAATTCCTCTACATGAATTACATACTATTATTTTCTTTACATTGAATATTCTTATTTTTCTTCTTTTATTTTTTTATGTCTTGAATTTATTAAATTATTTATTTTTAGGTCTATTTTTCTTCTTCTATTGTGGTAAATAGATCCATGGTTTGGTAGAAGTGGTGCATATAAGAGAATATAGAGGATATTCAATTCTTACTTGTATTAGATGGAATCCTTAGAATCAAATAAAGAAGTAGCTTTGTCCAATTTAATATTTTAATTTTGATATTTATTGTCAAAGACATTAATCTTATATAAAAATAATGTCAACATATCCTTTTATTACTTAAAAATAGTAGATATTTATTTAAAAGTAATATAATATTAAAATTAGAATGACTATTACCAAAGGCAAGAAGACTAGAGAA